GAAGATCAACTTCCATGGTCACCCTTTGCCTCTGATGGGGGCTGGCACAGGATGCAGAGTGAAAAAAGGAATAATGACAGTTCTTGCCAAGAATCATTGAGTTGCAGAGTTTCAATCTCGAGCCCACTATACCCCTAGACTTCTTGCTGTCTGATATGATAAATTTATTAAGATATTTTTTGTCAGGGTTTTGTGTCAGAGGCAGTTAAAAGCACAATTTAATTTCCACAGTGGAAATAATGTTTACTCTGCACACCCCTGGTACAGCGAAACTGACTCATAAAATTAACTATCTCTATGAGACACATGCTTTGAGGTTGTTTTCCAATATAGTAGCCTAATTTCGCTGATGCAAAAGTTATACTTTAATATGTAATCCTCCTTGATTCTTAATAATCCTGTAGATACAGGGCCAGGATAATTAGTAAAGTTACTAAATTTCCCCACTGGAATAAGGTCTACCCTACATTATATCATTTTTATGATAACATTTACTGACAACTTACTTAAAATTTCAAAACGAAGATAAAGATGATCAACAGCAATTTTAAGGAATACATAAGGAAAGTTTATACTTTCATGGAGATGCAGCCTCTGAGAGGTCAACAAAGTTAGTTATTCTGTCATACTCACCTTGTAGCATATATCTGTACCAAATGTGTGCTTTAGCAAAATTACACATTCATAAATATTACAGATCTTCAGGATTGCTCAAAGATAAATAACTTCTGGATCCTTGAAAGTCATGGGTTTCATCTCCTGCACCTCCTTCTATACACAATGGCTTCCTATAGTGTCCATCTGAGCAGGACTGTGAGGTCTCACCTGGGTTCTACAGGAAGGAGTGCTGGGATCCATTATTAATGTCTGCTGTGGGTGTGCGTGAAGTCATTGCCATCAGCCATATTGTATTTCTGCAATCCAAAGTTTGTTTTTCTGCCTACCATTCTTGAAAGGCAATTAGAACAAGGGCAAATTGCTCTTAATGTAGTATACATCTATTTAATCAATGTACATTTATCGGGCTTCTTTGATGCATTAGGCATACTGTTATGCAATATGGGAAATCAAAAAAGAAATTTGACATGACTGTAGCTCACAAAGAACATAAGTCTAATAAAAGAGAAAGATGTGTGTCCATTTAGGGTATGAAGTAATAAAATGCTGTAGAAAGGGACTGGATAAGGAGAGGGACTATAGCAGGGGTCCTCAAACTTTTTAAAAAACAGGCCAGTTCACTGTCCCTCAGACTGTCGGAGGGCCGGACTGCGGCCCCTGGATGAGTTGGCTGCTAAGCAGGACAGGCAGCGGCAGCAAAAACACCCAGTGGGCTGGATAAATGTCCTTGGCAGGCCGCACGTGGCCCATGGGTCGCAGTTTGAGGATGCCTGGACTAGAGGATATGTCAAAGATGGGAAGAGGATACTTTTAGCAAGTGTGGAAGGTGGTCACAAGAAATGGTGGTGAGGATGTATTGGTGTTGAGCTTTGCAGGGTGTAAGCAAGATTGCTCAGGTGGATAGAAAGGGAAGACTATTTCAGACTGAGTGGTCAGAATGAGCAAAAGCACCAGAGTGGAAAGCTGAAAGCGCTGGGTGACTGCCTGACTGATGAGAATATGTAGCTTCTGTTTATTCCACTTCTCCCTACAGAAAGAGCAGTTGCCTGGTGGGCTTTATTAGATCACTGGGCTGATGTGACATCCATTTTTATAAGAGCTGTTTGGGCTAGGGGAATACTTGCTCTTTGGAAAGATCATCTTTCATCACCATTTGACATGTGACATATAACAAATGTCTTAAAGCAGAGGCCTCACTGCTATCTCACACTGTACTTTTTTATTGTAACCCTAAGAGAATTCACAAAGCCTCCCTATTTATTTCCTTAAGTACACACAGACACATCAACTCATGCCAATAAAGAGCATTCCTGACATCATATTATTCCATTTTATGAATGAGACATTCTTAACACATTGCTGAGCTAGAAACTGCCGACTTACAGAAAATATCTGCAAAAATAGATTAAAATTATAAATAGAAGATCATTCCTAATATGCTCTTATGTCATTCATATACATTGCACACATTTAAATATGAGGTAGGGTTTTGTTGATTTTTGTTTAAGTGTTTCAACAAATGAAAGCAATGCTATTGGCTTTGCTGGAATAAAACAGAGGAACAAAAAATTAAAATAAATTTGTTGTTCAGGCAAATGCAAAAAGCTATAAACAGCCAGCTGCCAAACACCAAGAAATAGAAATTTCTTGGGATGGAAATTTTAGAGTTAGGAAAAATAAAAAGGAAATAAACCTAAATATTCTCACAGTGTTTAGAATGCATAGATCATGAAGTATGAACTTGGATGTCAATGAACTTCACAGGCCTTCAGTTCACTTATTGCTACATTCATTACTGTCTTCCAAGAAAATCTAAAACAGAGAAGATGATTCTGTGACACTGAAGTAAGTTCTAGCCAGATCCCAAACTATAAGTGAGGAAGTTTTGCTTTGACGCCCTCTCCTTCCCCTCCTTCCCCCTTCCCTGTGCCTACTCCCATACATTTTCTTGGTTTTTATGGGCAGCTTAAATCTATATTTACCCACTATATTTAGTAAGTTTGATTATGCATAGCCTAAATTCAGATCTGAGACGATGATCCAGATTTTTGTTCACTGAAAGAACCTTTTCCTTTTGATAGATTTATAGCAGAGACTAAACACTGGCTTCTTTTTTGCTCCTCACTAGGCTCATTTTGCCACAGTCCCCTGCCCTTGCTGTTCTCTGCAGGGAAACTCTTGTTCGCACATCTGCTCTTGACACCTCCTTCCTGACACTTAGGTCTCTATTGAGATACCACCTCTGCAGAGAGGCCTCCAGGATCACTCACTGTAAATAACACTCACCTATAATCCTGGGCCTTGCCACTTTCTAGCCTATCACTCTATTGTTTTTCTATAGTTGCTTTTTGTAGGCCCTTTCTAATTTTTGTAAGTTTTTATGTCATTAAAAAATTATTTATATACAGTAAAATTTACCATTTTTAGTGTACAGTGCTTTGAGTTTTGACAAAATGTCCAACCATGTATTGATACCACTACAGTTAAAATATAGAAAAGTTCCATCACCCCTGCCCCAATTTTCCTATACCCTTGTATAGCCAACCCTTCCCCACAGCCTAAGCTCTGATATGTTTCCTGTATTTATAATCTTGCCTTTTCTGAATGTCATAAATGGAATCATGGTGTGTAGCCTTTCACTAAGTATAATGTATTGAGACTCATCCATATTGTTACATGTATTTCATTCCTTTTAATTGCTGAGTATTATTCCACTATATGAATGGACTATAGTTGGTTTATTCATTCTCCACCCACTTAATAAAAGACATTTCAGTTGTTTCCAGTCTTCGGTGATTAGAAATAAGGGTGCAATAAATGTTCAAATATTGTTTTTAGTGTGGATGCAAGTTCTCACTTCATTTGGGTAAATATCTAAGAGTGAGATTTCTGGGTCATATGGTAAGGGAATCATTATCTGCATAAGAAACTGTCCACCTGTTTTCCAAAATGGCTGTACCGTTTGTGAATGAGATACTGTACTATACAGCTACGAATGAGGTTTCCAGCAGCCCCACATCATTGTTAGCACTTAGTATTGCCAGACTCTTATTTTAGTCACGCTAATGGGTATGTGCTAGTATCTTATTATGGTTTTAATTTGCATTTTTCTAACAGCTAATGATGCTGCACATCTTTTCATGTGCTTCTTTGCTATTATATCTTTTTTGGTGAAGTATTTGTTCAAATCTTTTGCTTTCTTTAAAAAAAACCCATCGAGTTGTTTTCTTATTATTGGACTTTTTTGAGATTAATATATTGCAAGTTCTTTTCATAGTCTGGATATTTTTTCTTTTATTAGGGTTGTGATTTCTAACTGTATGACTGGTCTTTTCATTTCCTTAATGTGCCCTTCAAAGATTCCAAGTCCTTAATTTTGATGAAGTAGTACATAATTTGTCATTTCTTTCTTTTGAATTTTTGGGATCATAGCTAAGAAATCTTTATTTAATGTAAGGCCACAGAGATTTTCTTCCGTGTTTTATCCTAGAATTTTTGTGCCTTTAAGGCTGCACTTTTTAAGCTATGATCTCTTTTGAGTTATTCTTTTGTAGATGGTGTGAAGTATCTATTAAGTTTCATCTTTTTTATCACCACTGATAGCCAATTATTTCAGTACTAATTTTGAAAGATGTTCACTTCTTCACTGAACTCTTTGCAATTTTGCCCCAAATCAATTGGCTGTATGTTAGTGTCTGTTACTGACCTGCATCTCAGCCTAATTGACTGACATGGCTTCCCTTCCATCAGTCTTCATTACTTGTAGACTTTTGGTAAGTCTTGCAATCAGGAAGATATTATTACGTTTATCTTTTTCAGAAAAGTTTTTCAGAAAACTTTCACTCTCGGAAATTCTCTTATTTGCTTTCCCTTTTGATGTCTAATGAGACTCCTGGAACTACGAAACCAGGGAGTTTGTACTTACCTCTGTTATTCTCTGTTATATCCTAACACGAAGGACAGTGCCTGATATGCATTAATTACTTAATAAATTGGTTGGAGAAATATTGGAGTTAAGAAATATTTAAGTTGAGGAAATTGAGAGAATTTAGGATTTGGAGGAAAGAACATGAAATCGTTTTGTGAGAGTGAGAAACTGTGATCATGAGAGAGGACTGGCTTGTGGTGCTAGCATGGAAGATTAAGTGTTCTTTTGGCCGTGGAATTTTCTTTTTCTTTACTTTGTAATTCATGTCAAATTTAATAGTCTTGTCACTGACTCTTTGTCATGAGAAAGGATATTTTTATTTTCCACCTCGTTCTTAGGACTAATAACACATTTTTTGTAATCTCCAACTTCTTTACTACCAAGGAGCACTTCTTGATTTACTTCCATATTTTTATCAGAAGTTTTAATCTGGAGAAGTGTTTCCAGGATATTTAGAAATAGGGAATGCTTCACTAATTTGCATGGTCATCCTTGCACAAGGGCCATGCTCATCTTCTCTGTGTTGTTCTAATTGTAGTATATGTGCTGCCCAAGAGAGCCTTGGCCATGGCACTTTGATCATAAACTTAGTTCTTTTAGGACCCACAGAAGCTCTCTGGGGCCATATTCATTCAATCATTCATCAAACACATATCCAATACTTAATTGTGTGACATGGTGTTTTCCAGACACTAGATACATTTTTGTGCTCAGCATATGAGGGATCTGAGACAAGCAAAACAGTTGAGACTGAATTGTCCAGCTGGCATAAAAGTGGTGCACAGGGCTTTCTGAGGTGGAGGGCATCCAGCCCAGCCTCAGGCTTGGACAGTTTTGCAGAAGAGGACATATTTGAATAAGTTTTTAAGTTCCAACAGGAAACTTTGAGCCCTGGCTTCTCTTTAAATGGGCCACTTTGTATTTTAACAATGCACCACGAGTTTCTTCTGGTGTTCGTAGGTAGCTGCAGCTGTGTCTGAGTTTGTGGTACTGGTGGTGGTTGTTTTATGGATCAACTCTGCTCAAAGTCCCCCAGTAAACACTCCCTTAACTCTCGCTCCTTCTCCTTCATGTCCTTTACTGCAGTTGTAACAGTTAATTATGCATTTAGCTATTTGATACCTACTTCCCTTCTGCTACAATGTGAGTTTCCTGGACAAACTGTATCTGTCTCAGTCACCTCTGCATTTCTATTGCTTAGCACAATGAGTGCCCAGCCAGACCCTGCGTGAGGCCTGAAGGATGAAGCATTAATATTTCAAGGTTCTTAGAAAATCTGCCAGGTCACCTGAGAGCCTTTCCTCTCTGATGAAGTGGTTTTGTCCTTTTGCTCAGTTTTAGTTGCAACTGTTAGTTCTTTTTCGATTTTCAAATTACTTTAAGATAGTTAGTATTCAAAACAAATGCCCACCATCAAGGAAAAACAGAATTTTTCAGATTATGTACAATGCTTGAGTTCAGGCTTTGAGTAATTAATCAATCTGTTGATCTTGAGATGTTTTTGCATGTCAATGATGCTTAGATGATCCTGGAAATCAGCTGAAGACAAAAATCAATCTTTGCTCCTATGTATCAATAGAGTCTACTGTGCCCTAAAGATGGGTAGAACAAAAAGCAAATGGAGAACAAGTTATTTATTTTGGTGCTAAATTACCAATGATTCCTCTGAGTATCTGTTTATTTTAGTTCTTCCCAACATGCAGCACACATGCGCACACATGCGCGTCCTCTCAGGCGCTGCAACAGCAAATAGAGGAGTTGAATGGGGTGGGCAGGAGGAGGGCGTGGCCATTTCCGGACACCTCACTGTGCTTCCGCTCTGCACTGAGCTCCCTTCAAAGATTCTGTCACTTAGTTCACATCTCTACTAGGATGCTGAGGCCTAGACACCAGCAAAGGGAGGTGAAGAAAAACAGTCAAAATCTGGAATTCTCAAGGACATCACAGTTCTAATCTCCCTCGTCTGATTATGTCAGACACACTTGTTGAGGAAGCAACAGGGGAAAAGAAAAGGCATCTTCCCTTTGCTCAAAAGCAACCCTGTTTTGACGGGGCTACGGCCATCTTGAATTTTCCCTAGACCTCTGAGAAGCTCTCACTTAGGATCTTGTGTTTAATGTTGGTGCGTTTCATGAACAGCCAGGGGCATCCCAGGCCAGGGCTCTCTGGGTGGTTTTCAGGTTAAAGAGCCTTGCTCTTGTAAAGATAGAGTGGAGGGGAGATTCAGAAGTTACCAGTTTATGTAGTTCATGCATTTCAAAAGGTGAATTTTCTAAAACCTTCCAAATGTTCCTATTCTTTTTTAAAATCCAAATGATTCTGTTTGAAATCCATTGCAAATCATCATCTGTTTACCTTGTTGAGTGAGTTCGAGAACAGAGAACAGGAATAAAATGGAGGAAGAAAGGAAAGTAGGATTTATTGAGCACCAATTATGTGAACTGTTAAGTCCTTGGACACATAATGTAACCTTTGCAATCTCCGTGAGGGATGCGTTTTTTATCCCAGATGAAAACACTAAGTAAGGTTTAGGCCGGCAGCTTAAATAATTGTCTCAAGCTGGTCGGTGTGCTGGCGAGTAGTCAGCCTGTCCTCTGAGCCCCTTGCTCTACCAGGTGTAATCCTATGGAGGGATGGGAATGACTCCTCCCTTCTCCTCAGAATTAAATATGAGATCCAGATTTCTAATGGCCAACATGTCTCAAAGATTCGTACCTTGTGTGACAACTTGTACAACTGTGGCTTTCCCTGTCTTTTTCCTCCCCTGCTTCTAGGTCAAAATCTCATTTCCTTATCTCCGCTAAATAATTCACGGTTGGGTTTCCTGGGTTTCCTCTTCTCTTCCAGATTGCCAATATTATAGAGATATAATGCCTTGAATAAAAGCCTTTGAGGTTATGAGGAAAATGTCTCTTTTTAATAAGGAGGTCAAGAGTGACCGTGTCTAGTCGTTTTATTTATGTGGTTGATTTCATGTGCAGATTTTTAATTGGCTCATATTGAATAGGTGTAAAGACGGGGAGTGTTTTTCCAGGAACATGAGCTATATTAACGTTGTTAGAGAGGCATGTCCTGACTTACATGGGGGACGCATCAGATAAGACTCAAGAAATGTAATTCCAATGGACTCAGATTTTAGGTGTATTGAGATAACTGCTACATAAAGTCATCCTTGAAAGTCAAAGGAGATCCTTTTTAAACTCCACACTTTGCAGATGAGAAAATCAAAAGCCAGAGGGAGAACGTGACTTTGCCTGAGATCATGCTGCTTGTTACAGCGCAGCTGGGAGACCCGGCCCCCTTGGAGCTGGAGGAGGTGATAGCTCACTTTGCAGTGCTCTCCCGTGCTCTTGGTTTCAGCGTCAGATTGCTATGTATTGAATTCTGTTTAATGGATTGTGAAACATTCAACTCTGTGTCGGACCTCAAGTCTTCACAGAGAGGAAAAGAATTTTCAGATACCTTTTCTCCTTTCAGGAAAGATGAAATTATTCTGAACCTCTTTACCTGTTCCTAGGGGCAATTGAGATTTTGTAGACATAAGCATGAAAGGAAGGGGAGCAACTCTTACCTAAAGAATGGATTCTTTAAGTTGAGGATGCCTTCACATCTGAAGCCTGTTTGGTTCATCAGCGCCATGATCTGAATGTCATAACTCTGCCTGCATCGCAGAGAAAAACATCATTTCACAAGGCTATCAGCTATCCACGTACATCTAAGGCTTCCTTCACACACACCTACTGTGGGAGGGTGAGTGTATGTGTTTGCATCTTCTGTACGTCCATGCCTGTTTATTTGGATGACATTAATCCTGGTAGAGGCAACCAAAAGCCTTGTTTTTTCATGAGAAGAGTTTAATAGCTATAATTTTTTGCTCTAAAAATTACAAAGGTAATGGTGCTACTGGTTGATCAAAGCACTTTTGTGGGGGGAGGTTTTACCAACACCAATGACAGAAAATGGCTGTAAGTAACAGAGACACTTTATGGAGCATCATTAAAGTACTAAAACAACCTTGATCATGGAAGGATTGGCGGAGCTAAAAAAAATCTCAAACTGATGTAAAATAGTTAATAGATGTGATTGATTTTAAGTGATCTCAGATGAAGGTTTATGCAATTACACTGAGAGACTCTGGCTGATAAGAACAAGTAATATAACATATCCCAAATGACTAATCTGAAGGAGTCATGTTGGTAGATTTTATTAGTCATTTTCAATAATATAATTTCTTTTGATCTTAAAAATGATACTCTCTACAGAAAAATTGAAAACTAGGGACAAATATAAAGAAAATAAAATAATTCATAATGACACTAGGCAAATATTTTTTCTGCTAACATGATAGACTATTTTTCTTCTATTTTCCCTGTGTATTTGTAGATATAAATGTTTACCAAAATGATTCTCAAGTATTGTTTCATACCTTCCTTTTGTTTAACATGAACAAGTGTTTATCCAACATCATAATTCTTGAAAATGTAGTTTTCAATGGCATTATATGAATATAACACTAATAATTCAGCCTTGAATCTTTTTAAAATAATAATATTATTTATAATAACAAAAACTTACTTTGGGAGCAGAAATACTATAAAGGACTTCTTTGCAATACATGTTTATGTCCTCTCTTCAATTATTTCCCTAGATTAAATTAGAAATAGACGAACCAGGCTAAAGCACATTAAGGTATTTAAGGTTCCCAAAACTTATTACTCAAATGTCTTTCAGGAAGTGTGCTGGATACTTAAAAGGATGAAAGTACTAATTTCATCACACCCTTTCCAATCTTTAATATTTAAATATTTGAGGTTAAAATATCATGGACTATTTTAATTTTAATTTCCTTGATTAATAGGCTTCTTTTTGAATTTCAGAAATTAATGAATGATATAAAGTCCTCCAACCCCACTCCCACCCTGTCATTGCCAATAGTGGCCTAGGGAGGCATCAGAGTCTGTGACCCCAATAATTCAAGTTCTAGATTTTATCGGAGCCTAAAAAATTAAGAGGAAAACATAGCTATACATTTTAAGAAATCCATTAGGATGTGCCCTTTGATCCTTTCTCAACTCCATCTAGTTGATTCAGAACATTGTTTTGTTTTAAAACGTTTCTTCTGTGATAACTACACCTAGTAGTTGGCTACATTTGCAATAGCTGAAGACAGACTCAGCGGGACCTGGACACTGAGACGATGATCTCCTTAAGATCAGTTCAAACCTTGCTAGAACCATAGAATCATACTTTGCTCAGCCTGGTAGATAAGTCAGGGGAGACATGCCTAACCCCTTGTCCAAATGAAAGACACCATCTTAACAGCATCTGAAGTAATTAATGGAAAACTGGAAGTGGAAATTAGGTGTCATCTGAGGTACATGTGAATGAATGGCTTTGTGAATGCACGTATGGATCAGGTTAGTCACAGCTAAGAACTGAACTGTGGTCGAGAGAGACAATTGGGATATTTTTCCTGTGGGGTCTTCACCAAGGCTCTTTTTCAGAACACTAGGAATGATAATATAGCCCCTTCACACTCACTTTTCAAGCCCACTCCTAT